AGGAACCTTCTGGTTTCCAGATTCACATGGGAACCGACTAATCTAGAATCGAGCCGGATAGAACCACAAGGGCGGCAAAGTTCTTCCTCAAATTGTTCTAGTAATTATTCTGTGCATATGCACAAATGTAAATAAAATATTATAAGTTATATTTGACTATGTCTTTAAATCATTATCTATCTTAAAAAAAAAAATTGTTTAATGAGATACAAAATAGTAAGAGAATAATGATTAATTTAGAATAAATAGCTTCAACTAAAATGTTTGCAAAGTAACTTTTTATTCTTGGATAATTTATGTATAACATTTAATGTAAATTATTATTAGTTGGTCTTAATATTAACTATTATATGATATAATAGTAAAAAAATGTATGATTATACTTAATTAAAATAGCAGTAACAGTTTTCTACTATAAGTAGATAAAAAATAGGTGGTAAACGTTACAAAAATGAAGTTGACTAAAATATAATTAAGGAAAAAAAATCAGATTAATGATGAAAATTTTGTAACTTTCTTTTGGAAAAAATCAAAAATATTTTTATTAACTGTCTTGCCAACAATTTATATATATATATATATATATATAGGGTTGGGTTCACATGAGAATGGTGCTTAGTGAAAGAAATAAGAATACATTGTAGCCATTAGATCAAGTGATCTAATGGCTAAAAAAATTCAACATTTATTTAATCATTAAGGGTATTTTAGACATTTCAATATTTTATAATTATTTTGTGTCAACTAATAAACCACCTCCACCCAATTATTTCGCGCCACGTGGCGAAAACACCTCACACATCCTATCACTCTCTCTCTCTCTCTCTCTCACACTGACACACACACACCAAACCAGTCAACACACGCACACACACACACACACTAAACCATCGCACTGCACACACACACACAGCGGACGGAGCAACCAACGACGGCTCGATTTTCCGGCAACGGCATAAGCGTCGTCGCACCTCTGCCAATCGGCCGCGCCGCCGTCCGCGATGGATGTCTGATCTGTTGCGCCGTCAACCTCCGCAACGAATCTCGGACTTCCGGCTACCGGTTGCCGTACGTCGTCCGGATCTCTGTATCAGCCGTCACGGAGCCTGCAGTCACTCTCACCATTCTTCGCCATAGGTCCATCGTCCGCAGCTCCGTCGTCGCCTTTCTTTACCATCTCAGTCAACGGCCGATTTCACCACTCCCACTGGAACTTGGGGACGGAGCTCAGGTCGCAGCAGAAGAAGCTGCGGGAGGAACGACGGAGGGCTCTGAACACGTCGAAGATGGATATCACGGCCGGAAATGGTGGACGACGCCGGTGGGGTTGGTGGGGAAGATGATGAAAGTTTGGGGATTAGGGCATGAGATAGAGAATTAGATAATTTCAAAGGGCATGATTGTGAATTAATCAATTTTGACTATATTAAAATCTGGTACATGTTCCAATTATGTATTTTATAGAAAATTGAATAAGTGTATGTTAATGATAAATACATTTACAATGTAATGTGTATTTTCACATTAAATATAGGACAATGTGTGTGTATGACGAAATGGACATTAATGACCGACACATTGCACATTAATTACTGTCGAACTGCACCATATTGCGATCGAAACAAAACTAGATTGTGCCATTCGTATTTGTTTAATAAAGTTCAAATCTATGTTTATTTTAAAAAATTTTGGTTATTTTGGTTTAACGTTACAATTAAAAAAAAAGCGAAATAACACATCAACCAAATTATATAAAAAAATAATATTTTTATAATTTTTTTATATAAATATATTATTATATTCAAATGAAAAAACAATAAAAAAATATTAACATACAAAATATATTTTCTTATAATAAACAACAAACAATTTCAGGTATTTCGGGTAAATCGTCAAACCGATTGAATAAACCAACTAATTCGATAAGATTTTAGTTTATATAGCAACACACTACACTTTATAAAACATAAACATGCTAATGTACCAAAATTATAATAGTGCACTTCATATAGGGACGCACTACACTTTATAAAACAACACGATGCACTTTATAGAACAACACATCGCACTTTATCATCATACTACACAATAATTGTCGATCATTAACACCACTAAATTTATTTGATCAAATATTTACGAATTTTAAATTTTGATAGTTTCGTTATAAGTCGACTTTATTGTTTAAAACAATTGAACCTACCGAACTAAAACTTGGGATGCCGGAAGGTTTTTTAATAGTTAGTGTTAGTTGTATACTCGTGTTGCACATTTCTGAAGGCCGAATTGCACATTAATGTTAGACCGATTGCACGTTAGTGACTGTCAGATTGCACTATACCTCGATTGAACCCGATCGAATATTTTTTTGAGATCGAATTTTATGTCAATTAGATTATATGTGTTTACTTTTAAAATTTGATATAACGAAAAAAACCAAGCCGAAAAAAAACGAAATAGATAAATAATATTTATCATATTTTATATAAAATATAATTTTTTAATAAAAAAATAAAATATGTTAGATGAAAATATTTATGTGCAGTCTACATAACATTAATGTGCAATGTAATTATCGTTAACGTGCAAATTACGTAACATACGAAAATATTAAAATTTCATAAATTATAAATTTAACCCAATTCAAAAATGTAATATATTAGAATTTATAAAATTGTAATTGAGTCCCCACAACATATCAAATTTAAAAAAAAAAAAACCCATTCTAACAAAAATCACGTTCATTCAACACAGACACACACACACACTGCACACACGCACACACACACACACACACACACGATCAACGGGTCAACCACCGGCCGCCCAATTTTCTGACGACGTAATGCTTAAGAGTCGCTGCACATCCGCCAGGCCGCCGCACTGCCGTACGCGATGGAGATCCGATCTGCTGCCACCATCAACCTCAGCCATGAATCTCAAACTTTCGGCTACCAGTCGCCGCTGCTTCACCTCCGGCATCAACGGGTGATGGAAGGCGGAGGCGAGGCGGCGATCTATTGAAGGTCGGAGGTTGTTTCCAGGCGGAGACGAGGCGGCGGTCCGTTGGAGGCGGCGATCTATTGAAGGCGGAGGCGAGGCGGCGGTCCGTTGGAGCTCTCGCCGGGAGTTCTTGACGGCCTGACGGAATCGCGGATGAACACGACAACAGGGATGTCGACGGCGACAACTGAGGAAGACGGTGACGGAGGTGGTGCTGGCGGACGGCGGGCGGAGCCTGTGACGGAAAGGTGTGTATGTGTGTGTGTTTGGGAGAGAGAGAGAAAGGGGGAGAGAGAGAGAGAAAGGGGAGAGAGAGAGAGAGAGAG